CATTATTGTTAAATGTATACTGTTCTGAAGGAATATCTTCACAAATTACATCGTTAAATTGACCTGGTTCATATTTTAGAACATAAACTGGTTTATCTAACACTGTAATGATAAAATTTTTACGTGCTGAAAAAAAGATTGATAATGTTCATCTTGATTGGTTAATATATATGAAGAAGGCAATCTTGTGAATTGTGCGACTGTAATAATTTTAAAAGGGAACCGATATGCTAATTTTTAATCTCTAAGATGGGCTATGACAGATGGCTGTATGACAAAATATTTTTAATATGTTCGCCATGGTGCTTCAAAATGTTATGTGGCGAAATTATTTTCCCCTGCCAGAAATTATTTTCTTCGCAGAAATTATTTATTCTGTATAAATTATACGTATCGATATTGCTGTATTAATTAAATAGATAGAAATATTTAGAATAATTCTATACAGTATATTGACTAGTACTAATAAAATTTTATTCTTGTGTTGAAAGTAGTGATGGGCAAAACGCGTGATCCCGCGCGGGATTCCACACGTAATTTTTTCAAATTTCAGTTAGCTGGCCCGCATTAACATAATTTAAGCCAAAAATCCCGCGCGGATCACACGCGGATCCCGCATCAAGTGTTATAAATTTAAAAAAATTTTATTGGCGCAAGTGCATATTATGTGAATGACGTAGCGCGCAAAAATTAAAATCCTGTTTAAAAATATGCGCAAAATATATATATATATATATATTTAAGGCAATTGCTAATTTTAACCGGGGGGATTTTCCCTGTATGATATTAGCCAATAAATTTGCAGGATCAGGTGTAACGTGTTGTGTAACAAAACAAAGAAATTTTTAAAAAAATGCCGATATCTCAAAATTTCGCCTATGAAACCACTTTTTGGGTTCTAACAAAAAAAATTCCATGCTAAATTTTGCATATACTAATGCCTAGATAAAATCTCAGGCCGCACCCTAACCCTAAAGTAAAAGAAAAGAGTTTTTTTAAAATACGATTTATTGGCTAATATCATATAGGGGGGGGGGGGGGAATCCCCCCGGTTAAACGTAGTTATTTTCTATATTTAAAGTAAAATTATAATACGCGCAGAGCGCCAATTATTTTCAACAAAATGCGCAAATTTATGTACGCGCGCGGGATATTTGGAAAATCCGCCATTTGTTCATCACTAGTAGAAAGTGAATGAACATAAAATGAGAGTAAACAATTTTTCAAATAGGAATTTTGCTGTGCGAATTATAAATCAGAAAATAAAATAAGTTTTCTAATTTTAACTTTGAAACCCTCCATTGTCTGTGAAATAGGTTGTCTACGAAAGAACTTGTCTAGGAATTGGTTGTAAAGTATGTAGGTGAAGTGTTATGTCAATAAGCAGGTGTATCAATTTGCGACCGTGCAAGTCACGCGTGTCACGTGACAAAGATGCAGAGTTTAAATTTTTTGATAGATATACGTGTACAAAATTTACGTCTTGATGCACTTTTAGTGAACTTTGAGAGGCATTTACTAATTTCCCCCCACAATTTCGATTTTGGCCAATTAGAGATCAAGATCAGGTGTAACGTGACGATCAAAACAACAATTACTTTTTTTTGTAAAGTCACATTTATCTTAAAATTCGTCTTAAGAAACCACCTTTGGCGTACTAACAAAAAAAATTCCTTGCAAAATTTTGGTATAATGCCGGCTACTAACCCTAACCCTAACCCTAACCTAACTAAGATGTCACATTTTGAACAAAAGGTGATATATAAATTGGTGCGAATAATCTTAGCCAATAGAAACTGTGGGGGGAAATTAGTAAATGCCTTTGAGAGAAGATATCATAGCAACTACCCAACCAAATTCAATGATTTTTTTTTGTTTCAATTCTACAGACATGTAGACTTCAAATAAAAAAAAAAATTATCGAATTTGATAAATTAGTTGTCGAGATATCTTCACTCAAAATTTTAGAAAAAATTTGACGCGGCTTTTAGTTTAATAGACGTTTTTTGTATTGTTTACTAACTTTGAGCAAAGTTATCTCAACAACCGCCTGATTAAAATTAATTAAATTTTTTTTATTTGAATTCTACAGATCTGTATAATTAAAATAATAAAAAATTCATTGAATTTGGTCGGATAGTTGCCAGGATATCTTCACTCAAAGTTCAAAAATATTCACTAAAAGTGCATCAAGAACGTAACTCAAATTTGTTTACATTGTAGATCTATTTCTCACGCAGATCAGGTGATTAAAATTTTTATTTGTTTTTGCCGATTATCTTGATTGCTATAAAATAAGAAGACTTCTTACTGTGTACTTTAGCAAAACCGAAACTTATGAGATATCATGTCGAAGACAAATAAAGTTAAGTTAATATATTAAACGGTTCTACGCCCATATGCCCACTATATTCTTGTGTGGATCACATTTGGCCAATATCCTACGCTCATATGCCCACTATATTCCAGTGGATCACATATGGCCGATGCTTGGAAAGATACTCCTTAGCAGCCCCCCCAGGACGCTTCAAATTCCTCCTGGCGTATCATGCTAGCGGGTTCTTGACCAGACCGGACTAATGATATTCTACGCCCATATGCTCACTATATTCCAGTGGATCACATATGGCCGATGCTTGGAAAGTTACTCCTTAGCAGCCCCCCAGGACGCTTAAAATTCCTTCTGGCGTATCATGCTAGCGGGTTCTTGACCAGAATATCATTTTGACGATGTTCTATTACTGCACAATCTATTTTAAATGTATAAGCTTGACACTAATTTTTTTCTCTTATATTTGAAAGATTATTTCCTCTTTCTTCAAAACGAAACCATATAAAGAATGGTCGATTATTGCTTGCCTTCAATACGTCATGGAAAATATAGATATAAATTTTGAAAATATTGGATCGATCATCGACTATATGAAAAACAAATTTAAATCAATTGGCAATCAGAAAAATAATTCGCGTTATGCACGAAACAAAGCTCTTTCTATTTATTCAACATTTGATAAGACTCTTAAAAGGAGAGAAGTTCAGGATCTTCTTGAAACGATAGAAAAAAAGGCAAGTCAATGATCTTTATGAAATAATAATATATTAACAGGAGTATATAGAATTTAAAGTTTGTTTTCTAGAGTGAATTTAAGTCAAGAAAATTATTATACAAAGAAATGATGAAGATTGAAATCTTGAACGATAAAATGGAAATTGCCTCAGATACAAGACTTACGAAAGAATTCGTAAGTATAATCAATCAATGAAAGACATATCTTTTTTTAAAATCAACTAAGCTAATCGAATATAATTATAAAATTTTCAAGGAGACGAATCAAGTAGAAACTAAAGTGGTAAACAAATCATTTTGATAATTGATAAAGATCCTTTTTTAAAAAATTATTTCCAACAGGACGAAAATGATACTGAAAGTGATAGCGAAGATTGCACTGAAAGTGATAATGAAGATCATGTTGATTACCAAACTGACGAGACTAGCAAGCACGACTGCCTTGATGGTGAAAATTTCCTCATGGTAATGGTGTACACAATTGTTTTAAACTAAATATTTGTGCATATTAGAAGCTGAGATTAGTATAATAATTATTTTGTATTATTAGATAACCCATGAAGAAATTGAGAATAGCATCGAAAATTGGAAGCGCACCAGATCTCAAAGTGGGTATGTACAAAATATAATTATTTGTGCAGGTAAACTACATTTTGCAATAATGCTTGTTTCATTCTTTATTTCAGTCAATTAGATAGAAATGATGCAAAATATGGTAAAAAGGATTTTTGTTACTTGTTTAGGTATCTGATCTATAACTATTAACTGTTTCTGTATATTATGCAAAAGGAACTCGAACTCCTCCCCACAAAATAATTGAAAGTTTTCCCAATTCTGATATCATTCCTCGATCCTCAAATAATGAAAGAATCCTTAAAGCTTCTGCTGAGAATTTAGCAAGTCCGAATGAAGTTAAGGTAATTTATTTAATGTTATTACTCGAACTCGCTCGTATCACAAATCTTTATTTTATGACTTGTATTAAATAGTATTTCCAAGAATTTATTCCTCTTTTCGAAAAATACAAAGATCAAGAAAAAAATAATATATACTCGTAAGTATTTAAACAATATGTTTTAAAAAAAGCACATCATATAATGATATGTGAAGCTTAGCTGATATGTTTTCAATATATAGCTGTACCAACGATGACGTTATGGACATACGGGGCGATAGCGGGTTTGCTAAATTTTTAACTATTGATCAATACGCAAAACTGCTTTCAGTACGACCAAAAAGGAATGCGGTGTTACCGGAATGTTGGCATAGAATTATAGAGGAATATTATATGGTAATCATTTTTTGTATTTTTATTTAAAACAGTTACTAATATATATAAATAATTAATTTTGAAGGAGTCATTAACCGAAAATGAGCCAAAGAAAACAATTTCTGATTGGCTTCGCATAACAGAATCATTGATCATAGTTAAAGATACCGAGGAAATAACAAAACTTAAAAAGTATTTATATAGAGTAATGTTACCTTTGTAAGTATTGTCAAGATCATATTATCGTTTATTATTTTCTGTAATTGATGTTCATTTTTCATATTGTGTTGTAGAATTGAGTCATTCCTTAAACCCATTCCGGACATAAGTGCTCCAAATACTAGTGAGCATCACTATTGGGCAGAGTTTGGCCATCGTTTTTTTTCTTACGCTTTACAAGAATTTGTAGGTCTTGATTGGCGAGCGCAAGTATTAATTTCAATAAATATATTAGCTTACTATTTTCAAATATATCTTATAGTTTTTTTTTTTTCAGCATGGAGGTTCCCGTACTTGCATCTAAATACAGAAAAAACTATGGGCTTGATCATGCAATACATAAAATAGTTGAAGGAGAAGCCTCTGATCTGTTGGCTTGGTCTTGGGAGACAGGAGAGGAAATTTTAGTCGGAGAGCAGGCAGGACCTCCAACTGAGCCTAATCTTACAAAGCTCTCTATGGATTTTTTTAAACTATATAGAGAATTAAGAGATTGTGTGAATGTTCGCATATTGCATGCAATGGAAGTCGGGGATATTAATTACAATAATCGAGCCGTATTTGGAATACTCGGATATTTGTTTGAAATAAAGATGCTAATTATGTGGAGAGACGGTGTATACATATATGAAGAGTTTGGGTCTTTTACTATTGCCTCTCATTCAAACATGATTCATACAATGAAGGATGGCATATTAAAGTTACTGGAATTTGTCGTAAGTTATTTTACACATCTTTTTGGTTAATTTTCTGCTTGTACATCCTGAATTAATTATTGTGTAGATGGTTATTAAGGAAGAGTTAAAACGTTCTGTGGAAGTAGAATATGATAACGATAAAATTCAGTTATTTAAAAGAAAGTTTAGTGACATTATTCAGACGAAGCCATCACCATTAAAGGTTTCAAGGGTTAAGAAATATTGAATAAGATCATGTTGATTACCAAACTGACGAGACTAGCAAGCACGACTGCCTTGATGGTGAAAATTTCCTCATGGTAATG